TTTTTTAAATTAGCTGCGTGATTCTGTTTGCGTTTTGAAACGGACATTCAGAGAACTGTGCATTTGTTATCAGGCTACTGGGATGACGGACAAACGGCCTAATGTCAAATGGGACTTTTTTTGTTTTTGGGGCTTCAGAATAAAAGCTCTCGGAGCAATGGCATGGCACCACCTAAACTACAACTTAACTTTTCACAAAACAAAAGTACAGCTGAGGATGATGAGAATGTAATTATGTTTGCAGGTATTTGGTCAAAAACCAAAGTATCAGACAAATTGGAATTTTGACCTGATGATGGCGCTAATGGAAGGGTTTAGGAATCACCAAAGCTATTACAATCTATTTAAAGGTGGGCAATGCCTGTATCAAATTTCACGGCAATCCACAAAGTAGCTGCTGAGACATTTCACTCAAAACCACAAATACACGTAAGTCAGAGGAAAGTCATTAGGAGTCATCCTCTGGGGAACACGAATGTCTGTGGAAAACTTTTATGAAAATCCATCTAATAAGTAGTTGAGATTTCCCAGTCTGAACCAAAAAAAGTGGACGAACTGACAAACATTTCAAGCAGCTAGCATCTCTAATAATTTACATTCTGAGTCATATTAAGATTAAGTGAAAGCAGTGAAGTCGAGTAGTGTATTTAAATAGGCTAAAATCATAAGTTCATACCACAGGGATTCACAATCTGTCCTTTCATTTGGACCTCTCATGTCAAGTCTCTTTCTCTACTTTTTCAAATGAGGAATGAAATGTCCAAGATCAGAGGCAAACTTCAAGGAGCCAAATAAAGCTGGAAAAATTCAGTTTGCTCCAAAATAAAACATCGTTTCCGCCACAAGTCTAAATTATTCAGTCAGCTCAGTCTCTCGTCAGCTTAGGAAGTGAATGGAGCAGACGTAACAGTTAGAGGAGCTAAAATCTCCATCACATCCCGAGAGCCATCGGCACACTACTGCAGATGAAAATGCACTAATCATAATACTGTGGGGCCTGCTGATACACACACATCCAGACACACACCAAAATAACAAACATATATGTACACACACGTATCGAAGTGAACACATACACCAGCAGAGACTGTCAAAATCCTCATGAACCAATACACCCGCATCCAAACACATCAGCGTAATTGGCCTGACAAATGGCCAGAGAGATGAGGAGGCAGAGACAATTGTGTGTGTGTGTGTTTCTGCGCGTGTCGTTGTATGTGTCAAGGAAAGAGACAATTGCCGCCTGAGAGACAAAGGCTGCCAACATTGTCATCATTGAGGGATCAACAGATATTGGATGTCGCAGTCCAGCAACGTGCCAAAAGCAGATATTATTCTTATGGGGGTTGCAGATATCAACCAATATTTTGGGCCAATAGTCACAATATTTGAATTCAACCGTATAAATGAAATGAACTTTGGTAAATAAACTATGGTTTTGATGCCAAAGAACAAAACTTCTGGAGGAAATATATATCAGCATTATGGTATATATAATACTAGCCAACCATCCTGACACCTGGGGCTTTGCGAGTACCACAATACATACAATTTAGGGAACTTTCTGACTCCAAATTGATCCTGTCAGGCAGTGCTTCATCCAAGACTCTGCTCTTGTTAAGGCAGTGTCACAGCCTTAAAGGAAGCCCTGCCTTAAGGCAGAATTACTGCTATCAAGGTGTTGTGTTGTTTCATACAGAGTTCAGCTTATGATTTGACCCTTTGAACTGCCACAATGCTATACTGAACAAAAACTCAAACACAACATTTTTGTTTTTGTACCCATTTTTCACAGGTTTAAATTAAAGATCTAAGACTTTTTTCATCCCCTCAAAAGATATTTTATCCTCAAATTTTGGTTGCAAATTTCTGTGTTATTGAGAACTTCTCCTTCCCCAAGATAATCCATCCACATGAGAGTTTTAGCATATCAAGACACTGATTAAACAGCATCATTTCTACACAGGTGTGCCTTGGGGTGGTCAAAATAAAAGCTCACTCT